GTCCCTAGTGGAGTCACCAATTGTCGCACCAGAAATGCGACACGGACGGCGCGAGAGTGGAGGTTCCAGTCTTCAGAAGAAAGACTGAAGAAATGGGAGTTGCCACCAAAATTTTGAGAAAAATCTTGGAAAACCATTTAAAGGTGGATAAGGATGGTCTGCGAATTCAGAAAGAAAGGTTCAGGAGTCGGTTGAATGTGGGGAAGGTGTTAGGCACCTTACAACACTCATTTGTGAGAACAATTACCTAAAGTTTGTTGCGCAAAATCAATATGGTTTTAAAATTATTTTAATTATCTCTTTTATATTCATGTGTTTGATATAAAAATGATAACAATTAAGTGAGAAATATTTATTTATTTACGGGGAGGACTTGACTCAGAATCTGACTCTAAGGCCTATGTACCTTGTGATGGAGATCAAAGTCCACATAGTTCGAGCTCGGTAATTGTTGGTGAAAATATTTTTTGAAAAAAAAATTAATCAGAAATAATTCATCATTTTGCAAATAAAATAATTTCTAAAAATTTTGATGTGTGTGTTTTAAATTGCAAAATGTTGATTTAATTTCAATTATTTTCTCAATTTTTGAATTTTTTTTGAATGAGAAAAAGGTAAAGGGTTTAAGAATTATTTTTTATTTTTATTTTTCATATTTTATGATGAGAATTTAATTGCTATACCTGCAGAGCCCTGTTGGTTCATACGGTAATACAATTATTCTTTATATCTGCGGAGAATCCAAACTCCCACATGATAAAAGAGTTTAACAACTTAGTTTATTTACTTAATTTTTTTTATTATTATTTTTGTTAGTGCATTCATATATACTTCTCTTTTTTTTTAAAGACCCTTAATCATCATACCTGTAAAGCCTTATTGACTTTTATGGTAACACGATTATCCTAAATATCTGCGGAGATTCAAAATCCTCACACCATAGAAGATTAAATATTATATATTTTAAAAATATTTTAATAAGTAATTATATAATTTGCGTTTTTAAATATAAAAATCTCAATCGCTATACCTACGAAGTCTTATTGACTTTCACGGTAGGATGATTATTCTAGAGGTCTATGGATATTCAAAAATCTCACATGACCAAAAAATTTAATGCATTAATTTAATTAATTAATTTTATTAAAAAAACATTTATAATTTTATTTACGAAATTTATTTATTTATTTGTTTTATAAGTTAATGACCACAACATTTGTGAGGACTTATTATCCTTCATAATGAGGCGATTAAGCTGAATATCTACAACTCATGATACCATTCAAATGTTCTAATTGATTATATTTGTGAAATAATAAGAACAAACTCCTTCATTTAACCACATATTTAAAATCTCCATATGAAAATGATGTCATATAAAATCAAAATTATCTTCAAGAATTAATCAATTATTATTAAATGAAAATTAAACACAAAATAATGTATGACTTTGAGAAATAAAGAAATAGAAATCAAATTTAGGTTGATCAATATTCTTTCATGCTAGAAGACAAACTTGAATCTTCTTATCACTTAGCTCAACAATACATGCTAAAGTATTATAACTAAATCAACCTCATTTGTAAAAACATATAACCACATGTTAGAGCATATTTAAAGTATGCAACATTATTTAGAAAAAGAAAACACAATATTACAGGATACTTTCTCTTCAAATATTTTCACACATATTTCCTATCCATACTTGAACGTTTAAAACCTCCAAATTTTCTTATTTCAAATATGAGGAATTATCATCAAGGATCCCTTTCATGATACAAATATACTCACGTATCTGTTGCCAGGTTTTAGAACAAGAACGATATGAAGCAAAAGACAAGTGTGGCGTACCAAATAGCAGAGCAAAGAAGGGAGAAAAACAACTCAGACTTCTTGCAGTGATGGAAAAGGATGGCTAGCTCCTAGTTCTGAACAAAATGTTGCTCTTTTCTCAAGCAAGACACTGCCTTCGTTCCTCTGGCAAGAGAAAGACATCTACTCCTTTTCCTCTCGTCCTCATTTTCTCTGTTTTTTCTGCGTTCTTCCTCTTCTCTCTGTGTTCTCATTTTTGGTGTTCTTCTTCCTCGGACTACTGCTCTCATCCGTCTCTTCCTCTCAATCTCCATGCTCTTCTTTTCACGTTCTCTCTTCTATTCTCGTCTCAACTCTTTCTCTCGATTTCTCTCCTATTTTTCTAGCTGAAACCAACTCCTCTCTCCCTTCAGCTCTTTCTCAGTTTCTCTCCTTTTCTCCAGCCAAAACCAGCTCCTCTTTTCCTGTTTCACGTTCAGCTCTCTCCGTCCTCCTCTTGCTCTGTTTTTCTTCTCTTTTCCTCTGTACCTCTCTTCTCCAGTTTTCATTCATCCTCCTGCTCCCGTTTTCTTCTTCTTTTTTTCTCCCCGTCTCCTCTTGTTTTTTGCATTTTTATACTCCAGGTCTCTCCCTCTCAGCCTCCTCTTTTTCTCCTTTTTTGCCTTTCTTTTAATGCTCTGTTTTTCTGAGCGTTTTTTTGTGCATGTGGGTATGCGTGTTTTGCTTTTCCCTTGCTCTTCGGCTTTCTTTGTTGCGTGTTTCAGCTCTAGTCTGCTGCTCTGGTTTTCCTTTTCTTTACATCTGACTATGGTTTCGTGCGTGACTTCCCTTTTTTTTCTATGTATGGTACTGCTCTGGTTTTGATCTCTTTTTTTTTCTGCTTTCCTTCTCTACATGTTCTGCTTCCCTTTTCCTTCTATCATGCTTAGTCTCCGTGTGTGTGTGTTGCTACTGCATGTTTCTGTTTCTTCTCGTTCTACGTATGTTCGAAAGTGTGTGTGGGTGCGTGTTCTGTATCACGTGTGTTTGGCTGCTGCATGCTTCTATTTCTTTCATTTTTCTTTCTGGTGCTCAGTCGAAAAATCTGTGCATGCATAGTCTATTTTTTTATCTAATTCCTGCTGCTACACCTGGACGAATGGATAGAGGCATTGGTTAAATGCTGATTTCCATATTATTTATATTATTATTATTTATTTTTTAAAAAAACCTAACTCTCTTTTCTTTTAGTTTTTAATTATTTTTTTATTATTATTGTGTATATGTACATATGAGGGAGACAATTAGATCTACAAAAATTTAAAAATGCTTAATTCTTAAGAAGTTGATTCTCATAATTTTCTTATTATTGAAATATTTTGAGAGAGAATTTTAAAGATTTGAGCAAGGTTAGTATTCTTAACTTTAATTAATTTTTTTATTGTAAAAGATACATAATCTCTAAAAGGATTTTATTTTTGTATTATATATATATATATTTGAAAGTATAATCCAAATAGATTAAATTTCCTTTTTTTGTATTTTTATATTTTTTTAGTTATTAAAAATAATGTCCGAACAAAATACGGTGTTCATAAGGCTTATCAAACGGCTTATAAAACTCCTATCAGCATGTCTCCATACCGGTTAGTTTTTGGGAAAGCATGTCATCTACCTATAGAGCTAGAAATGGTGCTTATTGGGCTATCCAAAAGCTCAACTTTGATTTTAAGGCCATGGGTGAAAAAAGACTTCTCCAACTGAATGAACTTGATAAATTTCGGCTCAATGCCTATGAGAATGCTAGGCAATACAAGGAGAAGACAAAAAGGTGGCATGATAAGAAAATTTTATGCAAAGCATTTGAGCCAAGCCAAAAAGTATTCTTGTACAACTCTAGATTGAGATTATTTCCTGGCAAACTCAAGTCTAGATAGTCAGGACCGTTCAATGTGGTCCAAGCATTCCCTCATGTTGCTATTGAGTTAGAAAGCACTGAAGAAGAAAGATTTAAAGTCAATGGGCAACGATTGAAGCATTATTGGGGTGGTGAGGTAGACCGTGAAGCAATCACCTTGCCCTTATTTGATGCCTCTTGAAGAAGAGAAGAGTCAGGATGAATGAATATAAAACAAGCGCTACTTGAGAGGCAACCCAAGTTTTAAACCTTATCTTTTGATTTTTCGTTTGTAGTTTAGTTGTTTTGGTGAAGTTATGTGTGATCTTGTCATTTTTGTAGGTTAACAAGAAGATATGAGGAAGTATAAGCCTTTGGAGAAGCAAGAAATGTGGCCAAAGAATAAAAGAGCACAAAAGGAAGGAAAATTTTAGGGAAGTCAAGCTATTTAAGTTTTTTTTTATGCTTATAAACTTGTCTTGGAAATTATTTTGAGCTTATTAAAGTAAATGCAATTTTTTGTGATTTGATTACCATGAAAAATGGTTCTTTTTGGGTCCTCGGAAGAGGTTTTAAAGGGTGAACAAATCAGATTTTTGAAAACAGAGTGCTGCAGAATTTTGCTATCAAGAAAGTTCTGACAAAAGTCACTTTGGGCTCACGACTTTGAGATTCCAGAGAAGGTCAAAGTTGTGACTTTCATTTCAAGCTTAAATCCAAAGTCACGACCTTCATTTACTCTGGACTGTTTGAAAAAAAAATTTGAATTTTCTTTTTCAAAAAATATAATATTAATAATATTTTTTCTTTTCTGTCTTTTTCTTTTATTTCCCTTTTGTACTAATTTTTTGTTTTTTTACAATGTTTTAATATATATATATATATATATATTTATATACATATAATTTTAATAATAATAATTTTTTTCTTCTTTTCCTTCCCTCTCCAAATGTACTGCACCTGCAGCTCCTCCTCTTTAAAATTTTTTTTGAAATTGGTTCAAATTTAAAAAACCCTCAGCTCTTCCATTCCAAACTCATGGTTACACACATCTTACTTTCTTTTTCAAATATACATATATATATATATATATATACACACACACATATATATATATATATATATTTGAATATCTTCATGCAGTTTTTTTTTTCTTTCCTTATCAGCGTTTATTTCTTCTTTCCTGATCAGCCTCATTTAATAAAAAAAAACAACAGAGAGAATCTGACCTGAACTGACCTCACATGTCTTCTTTCTTTATTTCCCTGTCTAGTTTTGTCCTTTCCTTTTGCACCTCACTTCCATTCACTGTCATCCCCTTGCTTTACCACCGTCTACCAGCATTTGTAGCTTTACTCGCTTTCACCGTCACCTCGTTTTTTGAGTTCCACCAGCAGCCACAGCATTTCCTTTCCCATCTCCTAACTTCGTTCTCCACAACCACCGTCTGCTTCTTCTACTTCTTCTTCACCATTTGCCCAAGCCTTCGCCACTGTAGCTTACCCTCACTGTTCTGATCACTCTCCGCTATAGCTTCATCCTTGCTGTAAGCTGTTGCATTACCGTGTTCTCATCATCTGCCACTCGTAAGTCTCCCTCTCCATTTGCACTCACCCTTTCTCCTCCTTTCGCTACAATCTTCTTCTCCAATCCCTATTCTAATCGCCAACATTCAGATCTAGAGATTGACTCATTTCTGCCATTTTCGTTTAAGCCACACAGCTCATTTTCTCCTCCATAGCTACTGTCTAAAGCTTTGATTTATGCTTCTGCTCGGTCTAAAATTTCTCAACTACTCTTTGCCAACGAGTTCACTGTTTCGAGTCTATTCACTCTTGTTCTTGTCGTATTCTCACTATTCTGAGTTTGGGTTTTGAGGTACATTATCTGGCCAAATTTTTTTTATGTTCATAAGGTTTTGTTAGTTTAGAAGTCTTGTATTAAGCTCTGGAATTTTAATCTGGTTGCTGGATTTTGATTTGCTTCTAAACTATCAGTCACTCAATGTGGAAGGTTTTGGATTTGAATGCATTGTTTAGGGGATTGATTCACAAATTTTTAGGTTCCCTTTAACACTGTTTTGAGGGTAGTGCATTTACTCTAAAATTTAATGCTAATGGTTGATTCTCTAAGATTGGACTAAATATTAATTATGGGATTCTATGGTTTTGACTAAGTGTTTGAGCTTTTGGTGCTTTCCTTGTTACATATGAATTTTTGAATAGACTTGATTGAAATGGCTCTATTTGATGTTCCAACTGAATTAAATTGAGCTCATTCATTGAATATGGTTATCTAGAAATTCAGGGTGTTTGAAGAATAATTTCTCACCGTTTTGATGATGCTCATTTTTCACTGTTCTGGGTTATCTTCTTCTGATTATAATGAAATGATGTTGATGCTAGAATTTCATGCTCATGACTAGCTACTTGAATATATTGTTGGCATACTCTAGATGATTAAAAAAGGGGTATTATTAGCATGCTTGTACAAGTTGAATTTGGTGAGCATGAATGGGCTATATTTTTTTGGTTGAATGCTCTCATTATTAACCTTGAGCTCATAGTTGTAATCAATGTTTAGCACTTATTGTCATGCCTTTTAATTTTGGATTTAGCATTGATCTTCATGTTTTGTACCCTTTATTAAGTTCAAATCTGTGTATATGGAAGCTAGACATTATTTAAATCCCTTTGTACAACATGTTGTCATGTGCTAGCTTCATTAAATCTTATTTGTTCTGATTTGAACTTTTGTCATTACTTGTACTGGCTGTTGCTTATTGGTGTTGCATCGAGTGCTTTCTTGTGGGCAATGGGTGAGAAAAGTGTCCCACTTTCTAAAAAAGCTAAGTTCATTAAGGTTAGTGAAAGCTCCAAGGGATTGGGATGGGATAAAACCTGATTTGCCACTATTGCAATTCAAGATTATTTTGAGTAAAATTTGAAGGGCGCAAAAAAATAGTTCAAGAAAGACCCTTCCCTTCAAGATAGTCTGAGCAATTTTACAATGATTTGCATGATGTATATCATGCCACTAGCCTCATTTGTAAATAAAGCCATGCCTCTCAGCCGCTTGTAGAAGCTTACTATGCCTACGCTGCTTGCAAGGATACCTTGCTATGTAAGGTACGGGGCAAATAGGTAGAGATCACTGAGGACACATTTCGAAAGGTGTATAACCTTTCTCCCATAGAAGAGTGCTAATATACTATTTATAAGAATGATAGAACTCAATTGCCATTTGATGATGTAGTCCGAGTGCTATGCCTTCCTAATAAAAATATTTGGCAACATGACACCCATGGCAATCCTAAGAGTATTTTGTGCTGTAATCTGAACAGGATAACTCATATATAGTGGCACTTCTTGGCATCTAATGTGATCCCAGTAACCTATATGAGTGATGTGACTGTTGATCAAGCTGCCCTTTTATATAGCTTAATGATGAGGCAATCTGTCGACTTTCCAAAAATCATGTTTGAGTACATGCGGAAGTTGTCTAGAAGTAGATATCGCAAGCAAGCATTTGGGTTCCCACACTTGATTACTCAAGTGTGCTTAGAGAAGAAGGTTCCCACTTTTCTGAAGGATCTCATGCTCCCTCCTTTGCTAATGTTCAATTATAGAGAAATTCGATGTGCTAAGGGACCAAGAGGGGTGCCAAATCAAACTGCGGATGGTAGGAGGCATATTGATCCACCTCATGTTGAGCCTACACTGAGCAACCTCATAGAACTCATCTAAAATATGCATGAAGGCCTCCAAAGCCAGCTAGATTGGATTGACTTCAGGCTCCACCACATTGAGCCATTCTTGCATCAGAGATTTCAGATAGACTTGCCAGAGGAAGAAAAGGAGGCCAATATTAATGTTGGCCAAGACTCAGACACCCACGCTGACTAGCTTCACCCTTCTTTACTTTACTGCCTTTTATTTCTGTTTTTAATTCTAATTAGCTGTTGATTAGTTCTTTTTGGGTAAATATGGTTAGCCATAATCTTCTGATATATTTTGTGCAGGGCTAACTTTGATATTTTTGTAGCTAATATGTAATACCTTGACTAATCTCTTGCAACTAATTATTCTATGATAACTTGTGCACATGCTGGTATAGTTAGTTGTATTTTTGGACTGCCTGTAGATATATCTCAATTATACTGTTACAGGTTTCTAATTTTTTTTGTGCCTCTCATGCACCTTCTTTTTAGTTATTAAGTTGCATGAGAGAGGGCCCTCATTTTACCCTTTTGACAGTGTGGACACTGTTCAATTTAAGTTTGGGGGTGAGGGTATTATTTTGGTTGATTTGAGATGAACTTTAATTTTAAAACTTAGCTATTTACTATTCCTCTCTTCTGAAATTTAAGCTAGATTGAGAAATTATTTGTTGAACAGAATGCATGATCCAATGATAGAATGTTGCTTAAACTATATGTTTTATAGGAAGTTGTAATAAATATTTTGGCATGCTTGATTTGCAGGGTTAAGGCTTGCTTTCTAGTAATTTGTGAAATTTTCTTTTGCACTTTTGAATCAGACAATGATTTGAATGCCTCTATTAGGAAATTTTGTGGCAAGTTTATGTGCATTTTCTTTCTCTTAAGGCATTTTAATCACTTTGCATGATATTAAAATATGATTTGGGCATTCTTTCAATTGTGTTTGAGCCTTTCAAGCCCACCTATTGCATCATTTCCATTTGATCCCCTTTTTGAGCTTGGAATTGAAAATCTTATGTATTTTTTTTTAAACCTACATTAGACCCTAGCCTCTACAACTTGAAAAATCATGAATTACCTTACTTTTGAGATAAGTGATAAAAAAATTGTGTGCTAGTAGGGAAGATTGGTTTAGTTGTTTAAGGAGGTGTTGTTGTAAATTTGGGTGTGAGGAATGGAACTAAAGTTTGGAATTCTACTAATTGTACTCCTGAAAAAAGTATAAAAAAATAGAAATATACATGAAAAAAATTACAATGAAAAAAAAGAGTTTCAATATCAATAAATTTGGAGTACAAGGAATGGTATTTAAGATAAGTTTGGGGAAAAGTATTTGGCTAGCAAGGATGGAATGGTTGGCTTCTCATTGTCACTTATCTCAAGTTCTTTAAATTCCATTTATCCTTTCATTTCAATTAGGCCAAAATCTTCGGCCACGCTACAAGCTTACAAAGTTCCATTGATTTTGAATTATGTGAAGTGATCTTTTAGTGGAGAGAGAAGAAGAGTTTAGGCATATAAAGTCTTGATATTGAGTTGTTACATTTTGACTTGATAGTTGCCAATCATTCTCTGGTCTCACACACACACATTTCTAAATTATTGAAAAGCATGATCTTAATTTATGAATTGAGCATTCCTTTATATTTCACTGCTATCCTCTTTAATATATATTTGGAGCAACTAGTGAGGATATTTTCATGCATGCTTAGTAGATGAATAATTGGTCAATCTAGTTGTTTTATTATATGTTTTACTCGAGGATGAGTAAAAATCTAAGTTTGAGGGTGTGTTAACCTCTAGAGGTTCATGTTATTTCATCACATTTTCCTTAGATTCTAATTCATTTTGGTTCAATTGTATATGTTTTTATTGCCCAAATTAGAAAAATGTGTATTTTGTTTTGGGCTTGTGTTCTTGGCTTTACTTTGATATTTTTAGCCTAATTTCATGTTATTTTGATTGAAGTTTTGATTAAAAGCATTTCTGAAACTTTGTGAATGTTTATGGAAGGCTTTTGGATGAAAAAATTAAGAGCAAAATGATTGATTTTCGTTAGTTGTAAAAATAGTGCAAAACTGCCAAAGACATCCCAAAGTCGTGACTTTCATTTACGACTTTCGCCACTGTCAGAAAAATGCTGCGTTTTATTTATCAGAAATTAGTTGGCTAGGACACATATAAGCTGTGAGCTCGACTCAGAATGCATTTTTCAAACTTTTAGACACATTTAGAGCTTGGTTGCGCTAGGGTTTGGACATTGGAAGAGTTGGGATCAAGAGATTGAAGCTTTGAAAACATTTGGAGCTCTTCTTCTTTGGTTTTGCTATTCTTCTTCCCTTTCCTATCTTGTAATCTGAAATGAGTTCACTCATTTTATATATTTATAGCTTGTGGATGATTATGGGTAGTTAAACCCTTTATTCTAGGATTATTTAGAACCCTTGTATGGATTAACATTATGTTCCTCCTCTCTTTTTGTGATTAATGATATATATGTGTTTATTTTACTCTTTCCTTAATGCTTCTAACCCATTTAGATGTTGGGTTCACTTAATTGATGCTTGAGAGGGCTAGGTTGAGTGTAGAACTTGAGTAAAGTTGTGTAAGAACTTGATATTTGCATGTTGATGGGTGGTTTTGCTAGTAAGATAGAGATATACTTGCTAGCCTTGCATAGCCACATTAGGGTTGGTGTTTAAAATTGAGTTTTATTAATTGTAACAAGAGATTGAGCAATTAATTTAACTAAACACATGTTCATGACTTGAGAGAGCTTGTCTAAGTATTTTTAGAATCGTAGGTTAGCACTTATTTTCATTAAAAGCATTTATGAAAGGAGGTAATTTTGGTGTTATGAAATGCAAGGGGAATAAATAATTCTAGGTCCTAAATTGTGTTTAAAGTTTGTGAATCACTCACTTTTCTTTATTTTCTAGCGTTAGTTTCATTTGCAAAGTCATTTCACCTAACTATGTGAAATTCAACTTGATCAAATTTGCTTAGTCTTTTATTTAATTATAGTTTTTTTAAATAAATTCTTGAGGGAACGATACTCTACTCATTTTATATTAATTGCTACGACCCGTGCACTTGCGGTTAGCAACAAACTCACATTGGTGAATATTTAATTTATTCATCTAATCCTCTGTTAATCTCTATATCCATACTAAACTAAAAGACAATGAGAACATTAATCCATCTGTCAATAATTATTCCATTATTGTGTGTTAATTAAATTCTCTAAGCTATAAATTGAAATATATATACATATATATTGAAAACAAGGATATGCCTGGACATGATTGTTCATTTATTTTATGTATAATAAAGCAGGAAGGAGTAAATATAAACAAAAAGCAAGCTTTGTTTCGAAATACACAGATCTCACGTCTGTAGTCCGTCTTATGTAACATCTCATGCACGGATATACATATAGCCAAGACAAGCTTTTATGTTGGCTTCTACTTCGACAGAATATTTATTTTTGTACTTACCTTAACACAGTTCTTATTATTGAGCTCACACATACATATAGAAAAACCCAACAGCACATTTATTTATGTAGTTACATTAAGACAGTTATTACTATTATTATTATTTTTTTTTGGCGCCAAGTTATTATATATAAGGTGGAGCTTGGTAGCTAGCCTGGTGGAATATATATGCATGCCTCCATGTGGCTCCTTATGTTCAAGGCTTCTTCTTCATCTCATTAATCCACGCTTCTGCTTTCTTCTTCTTTTGTAATCAAATCAAAATACAAGTAAACCACAGTTATTAAGTACACAAACATGAACATCTCGGTGTAAATAACAAATTCTATAACAAATCATACTATTAATGAATCATACATGAATCATGCAACTCTCTAGATTATATATATGGTCATCAGTTTAAGTCTACTAACTCAATGATAATTTTATCATTGAGTTAGTGGATTTAAACTAATAAACAGATTATATTTTACATAACATGATAATACTGTTCCATTTTATCAAACAGTTATAAGAGATTTGTCATATAATATTAAAAAAATATCAAAAATATCAAATTTTTGGAGATCATATGAGAATTGTTCAGATTGTGATGTTTGTTTTGAATTTTTGTATGCATCTTGATATTTTTAAGTATTAATAAAATTTAAAAATTATAATTAAGATATTTATTAAATGAGTAAATTTAAATCACCTGATTCAAATTCATTCATTACTGATAATAAATACTTTGTAATTAATTAAAAACGGGCACATATAGTGGACTTGCCTTGTCAATGTCAGTACCACTATAGTGTGCTTCGTTCTCGTTCCTCTTCTTTGTCTTCTTGTCAGTATCAGTACCACTGTGATTTGCTTTGTCCTCATTCTTCTTTGTCATCCTGTCCATGTCAGCGCCACTATTCGTCTTCTTCTTGCCATTTTCATATTCGATATCACTGCCAGTGCTGCTGCTGCCACTGTCGAAGCAGCCGGGGCTATTATCGAGGATGCGAGTAATCTTTTTTTCCAATCTTTTATTGTCTTTTTCGATTAGTCTATTTATCCTTTCCGTTATTTTTTTCTTCTCCTCCTCCCTTTTTCTTTTTTCAGCTTCTTCCTTCTTCTTTTGTTCCTCCCTTTTCCTTCCCTTTTTTCCATTTTCATCACTGCTGCTGTGGCTGTGGCTGCCTCTGCTAGGGCCATTGCCGTTGCCGCCGCTGGGCGGGTCGCTGCCGGGGGGTTTATTGCCGTTTCCGCCGCTGGGCATGACATTGCCGGGGGGGTCATTGCAGCCGCCACCGCTGCGGAACCTATTTAACATACTTTGAAGACTTTGTCGCAATAGCCTTTGTTTCCATTTCTGATGCTTTCTTCTCTCCTTCTCCCTTTTCCTTTCTTCTTCTTCCTTCTCCCTTTGTTCCTCCCTTTTCCTTTTTTCTTCTTTCTCCCTTTGTTCCTCCCTTTTCCTTTTGTCTTCCTTCTCCCTTTGTTCCTCCATTGGTCTGGGTATCATTGCATCGGCTACCGTTTCTACCACGGGTTTCATTGCATCGGCTACGGTTTCTACCAGTGGTCCGACTACCTTTCCGGCTACTATTGCTCCACCTGCCGCCAGAAGAGGTACGGCCAACCCTTCTACCAAAGCTGGCAAAGCTGGAATAAGAAGAGCCGCCATTAATGATCACTATCACTCAATGATTTCTTTGAATGTCCTCTTTTGATCGCTTGGTCTGTGGTGTGGATCCATGAAACTCTTGTGATTTATATAGAGCATCATGCATGCATGGTGATGGAGCATGTGGACTTTTCATGTTAAAAAACTGAACGCTCCAAATTTACAGGTTTTATTTTATAGTTTTGTTATATATTTATTAAAATAAAAATTATAAAAATTTAATAAATATATCTTATCAATTTCAATAATGTAGATTTAATTTAAATGGTCTAATTTATATTAAATATTTTTACAATTTTTATAAATTTTTGTTTGAGTAAATATAATACTTAAAAAGTAAAACTAAAATAGTCTCCAAACCGGCACCTTAAAAAATTTGTAAGAAAAAGTTGTGAGTTTAAAATTTTAAATTTAGACTGTATGCCCAATAGTCAATTTATAAAAGTCATAAGAAATTTTAATATTAAATTAAATTATTTAAATTAAATTTACATTATTTAATTTAAGCAGTCCAAATACTCATCACCTCAAAACCAAACGTCATGATATTCTCAATGTTTTTTATAGAAAACAATTTAAGTGAGTTAGCTTTAGAGGTATTTAACAAATTATCTGTTAATAAGGTTATCACTTCAGTCAATGACAAATCCAAGGGGAAGCATGCCATACTCTGCATCATTTATAAATATAAAAATTTTTATTTGTAAAACATTTTGAAATCAAATTCCCCCCCCCCCCACCATTTTAAAAAAAATTCAATTTTAGCCACCCCCCATATCATCATTTCTGGATTTTTCATTGATATCGGTAGTGAAATTTAATCCCGTGACTTTGAGAGTCATAAGCTACATCTTTATCAGCCAAACCAACACTTGCTGACCGCATGTTAATAAAAAATTATTTATTTTTTTGACGACAAAAAAATTATGTATTCCAACTTAAAGGTTGAAAAGTTATTGAATTTTGAAGGTAAAAAATATTAGTAAACATGACAGAATTTCAAAAATTCACAATCTTGGTCTTTTTTTTTTTAGCGCTTATCATCAGGAGTTATTGGAGTAAATACCGTTTTTTTTTTTATTTTTATATGCTAATATCTTAAAACATTTTCAGAAAAAAATGTATGTTACAGAAAAGCATTTTTAAATTTTAAGATATAAAATTCTTTTTTATTTCATAAATTAATCATAAATTAATATATGTATGTATATATACGTACCTTGTATGAATGAACGATAAAAATCATTATCAATGAGTATTAACGTTTTTCAAAAATTAATGCTCAAGGGCATCGAATTATATATGTACGTACGTAAAACTATTTGTTATTCCTAATAACCTTATTGTAACCTTCTTTTAGGTTTTTTCTGTACTGTTGCTGGGGTTTATTTTAAAATTTTAAGGCATTTTATATGATTATTTTTCAGTCTATAACTTATGTAAAGATCATTTTGTATTGAACATAATTATTTTGTATAATAAGTTCTTGACGTAAATAATTCTGTTTTCTTTCTGATAACGTTTTTGTTATGTTATATAATTAAAACAAATTAAAAATTTCATTCTGCTTGTTCTTAAATTAATCATGAATTTTGTATCAAAAAAAATTAATCATGGATTTCTATGACACACACACACAAATTTCAATAAGTATTACTTCCTCCCTTCAAAAATGTAAGATATTTTTTGAGGAGTTGAATGTTCAAAAATATAAGGCATTTTTAGTCTTTCGAGATGTAATCATTGTCTTTTTTCAAGAATACTCCTATTAATGAATGACTTTATATTTATTATAGGGTATTTAAAAGGGGTAAATATAAAAAGATAGGATTAGTTTGAAAGTACGTAACTATTTTATTGTGGAGTGAGATTCAATTAAAAATGCCTTACATTTTTGAATGGAGAGAGTAACACTTAGTTATATGCCCCAATCCAACCATACACTTGCACACACCACTATTTATATGCCATAATAGATTTAAAAAAAAATGCTATTTCACTTATTTTGTACTCATCAATAACTCAAGAACTCCACAACTAATAGTAGGGGGTTAATTTGCAAGAAATTTTAAAACTTGAATCTAACACATTTATATATTTGAGATTGTTTAGGGATTCTAAATTCAAATCAATCTTATCCATACCCTAATTTTCTTCTATCATACATTTCTTCAATTAATCGAATCCTCTTATATCTTTTCCATTATTCGAATGTGTATTATAACTCATGGCAATAGGCTTTTTGGTTGTTCATTATAAATATTAATTAGTCATTTGATGTTTTTGATTAATTTTAATAATATTTTTAATTAATTCAAATTCTAACATTATTCAATCCAGATAGCAGTAGCACTCCCAATCCCAACCTAGTTTGTTCTGTGTTCCCACAAACATTCATTTTAAATTTTATATATATATATATATATATGTAACTGTTTCCACTTTATATAAAATATATTATAATAAATTATATTCCAATTGGCAAGAAAATTATATTCCTACAGGTGCAATTTTATTATTTTTCAGTTTGGAATATAAAGATTATTCTACTATTAATCATTATGTATTAATAATATATCTTTTAAGAGTATACTTTTTTATGATGTTTTATTATTTTGCAAATAATTTATTTAATGAAAGATTTTGTATATAGTTTTATTTTGACAATTTTTTGATTAAAAAGGCTTACATTGGTGTAGTCTTGTTAGAAGCTCACTAATAATAGAGCTAGGAAAAATGGATTGATCCCTGTCAGATCGGATTGTCTAAGTTCATTTAAATGGAGGGCTAAGCTTAAGGTTTTCAGTGCATCAATGCTTAATCATGCTTAGTTCTCTCTCTCTCTCTCTCTCTCTCTCTCTCTCACACATTAATATTTAAAAAATGAGGAGGGAGAGAATCCAAATTTTGAAAAAAGGGAATGAGAATGTTAGAAAAGGAAACCCTAATCTAGTATTTTAATTGTTTAATAATTAATTATTTATGATTTAATATGTTTTATTTTCATATATTTATTTTAAAGAAGATTTTTTTTGTAACAATTAAAAGGGCTTGAGGCCTTTGGGATGACTCTAAGCTGTTGAGCTTTGCAAATATATGAAGATTGAGTAATTGAGTATTTTAGGTTTGATTTTTTTAAGCTGGGGCCAATCCCGACTCATTTTATCACCTCTACTCATCAAGTTATAATAAATTATATGAATAAATATAATTATGAAAATACTTGGAAATTATGTATCGATAAAATCATCACAACAAAAGAAAAGAAACATATATCAAGAGATCATTTTAAAATATATGAAGAGATAATAATAATGTGTGAATTACCTTTCTTTTCCATGGGAATTCGACTTTTTTCAAAAGCCACAGGTTCCATTTAGATTGCCATTAATTTTGTTCTCTCTTGATCTTCTAGCATTTTCCACTTTTACTCCTAATGTGTGTGTACTTCACATCAGTCCTGAGAGTTGGATTCCTTTTGTACGACAATGAGTTATTGCCTGAAAGTAAATGGATTTAAAACAAATTTATAACATATATCATTCTTGTTATCAATATTAAAAGGATAGTGGATATCTATTTTCATAACATCTTTATCTTCATCTTCTCCTATAAAACTCCCATCATTATGAAAATTGATTACCCTCTCATGAAACTCCCACCATTATAAGAGTTAATTATCCTTTATTTACTTTTATCATTTATGCATCCTTTGATGTGTAAGACCATTACTTATAAATAGACTATGTAATTTGTATTAAAGGATACAATAATTCATAAAAAATTCTTTCATTCTCTTGTCTCTACTTTTTCTCCCAATATCATTATTTTCTAGTTGCTTAATTTTATAACAATTCTATTAATTTTATTACTATTTTCAAATAATGTTAAAAGAACTCTTTATTCTCTTGTTGAAACTTGCTAACAATGTAAATAGAAACTATAAATTTCAAAAAGTATTTATTACAATTTTTTTAAATTGTTTCTCATAAAGTAAATGCTTATTTTTACTAGATAAATTTGTGTCATTAATTACATGGATTATTTAGTCCAAATTTTTTAATTTTAAATATAATTGTTATATTTAAACAACTTTCTTAAACTGTGTGAATTTATTATTTTCTCTTATATTCGTAATTGTTTCCCACTATACCATTTTAATATTTTTAATTAGTTCATGAATGTGATTGGAAATATCGAAAAGAAGAAGATAGAATATTTAGTTTTGCTTTTGGAAAATATGATTAACCTTTTTCTTAAATGGGAATATAAATATATAATGTTCACATTATTCATACGAATTAGTTCCATTCACATTAAGATAGCCATTTCCACTCTTTTATGAAGGTTGTGCATCACAGAAGTCCTAGGAATTGTATTTATGTTTGTATATTTTGTTCTCTTTTCCCAAAGGAACCAATGAATCATCATAAGTCACTTTTTATTAAACCCAAAAAAAAAAAAAGAAAATTGATGGTGCTTGTAAGCGATTTTCATATAAGATGAACTATTAATTTTTTTTTTTCTAGTTTTTTTACACACTTTTTTTATGAGTATGGTAAGTACAACAACACCCTTAAAAATGAAACTAATTTGAACAAAATATATAAAAATTGACAGAAACAGCTCATTTGCTAAATTAATGCATACGAGACTACAAACGTTACCCTTAAAAAGTTTGATCCTACCCTGAAGAACCCATTGCATTATCATAACATAAAATGGTCTGCTGTAGATGAGGAGGCTCTTGTTGCGAAAATGAGCCATGATTTAACAAAGTCCACAGAAACAAGAGTTTGAACACAATACAAATAACAAGAGTTTGAATTATTTAATTTTTTTAAACTACAACTAGGGCTATAAAGAGGAAACACCAATTCTGTGTGTAACAATGAGTCATTATCTAAAGGTAAATGGATTAAAAAAAAAAATCTACTACATATATCATTCTATTCTATTTCCAAATAATGTTAAAGGATCTCTTTATTCTCTTGGTGAAACTCGCTGAGAATGAAATGTAAAATACTCCCTTTGTTTTTAAATATAAGATAAACTATCATGTAT